TGACCATCATAGAGAATGGAGCAGCTCTAGGGGTTAACGAAAATGAATTTGATGAGAATGTTGACATGTTGAATAACCAGAGAAGATCAAACCTCATTCATATAAGTGACAGTGACTCGTCAAGTAGTGACAGTGACAGCGATGAGGACAGTGATGATGACACTGACACTAGTGACTCCAGTGATGAGGACTCAAGTGACGACTCAGACCAAGATGAATCAACTTCTGATTCCTCTGATTTAGATTCTGACGATGACACTTTGTCCGAGAGTGAAGAATCTTAGCTGTTGACCTTGTGATTGGCAAGTTTTTCACATATTCTCCATGTGTTAAAAAGAAACAGGAACAGTAATAAAGTCTAAATTGAACATGTTTACATAGTTCTTTCAATAATGGGCCACAGGATATCACAGATGCCACTACCTAGCAATCTTTCAGACATGGGAATACAGTACTGCTTTCTGTTGCATGCTGGTGTTAGCAAGAGTTTAGTGAGTCCTTTTTTTAAGCATGCATGCATATACACAATTAAGTAAATAAGGGTAGCATCTATGTATATATCAAAGTTTTGTGCATGAATGGGTCTAGAAATGGCAAAGGTTGAAAATCAAAATACATGAAGAGATTAACTTCCCATACTTTTGGGCCTGTATATAGAATCTGTATTACATCAGGAAGTATTAATGAAAGAAAAAAAGGTTGTTTTGCATGTAGAAATGCATATCAACTTATATATATATATATATATATATATATATATATATATATATATATATATATATATATATATATATATATATATATATATATATATATATATACTGGAGAAGAAACCTTGAGCTTTTTTACCTTAAGCCATAGTGTAATGGAAATAATCCAGTAATCTTTTAAACCTGAAAAAATACCTTCCTTCCTTGTGTGTCACCACAAGTTTTTAAAAATAATCATTACTTTTGATAAGATGTCCATACATCACCAAACACTCAAATTCTAGAAATTGGCAACGGACAGATAAGATTTCTATTGAACTCTAAGAGATGGGGCTGGTTCTGGTGGTGAATAGTTATGATTACCAGCACAATATCATGCTTCATTCAGTATTGATAAATATTTCTAAATAGGAAGATAGATGTAGTAGGGATCATTTGAATTTTTAATAAGGCAGCAGAAATATTAAAGGTAAAATATGTTTTATTAACAGTGATCAAACAGCTGTTAACCCTTCCACCACGTTTGGCAACTATGCTTGTCATAGCAAATAGTGGACGCCCGCTAGGGTTGGCAACTATGTCATTAACATTACGTTTGGCACTTCCCCGGTTTCGCGCCCGCAAAATAAAACGGGATGCTCGCTTAGTGCATTCAATAAACCACCGAAGTTTTGAAAATGATAACCAAATAATGGTTTGTCCTGGACTACCAAACCTATTAGCGCAAACTGGGAAACTGCCGCGCACGCAATAATTCCATTCGCGGTGCATTAATCAAAATTGATCAAAGTCTCTGAAACCCTTTTCCTCTTGAGTTGCTTTCACACAAAGAAAATACCATAAAATGAAGATTATTGCGGTCAGTTTCATATACAAAATTTACAGCTGAATCCATCAAAGTTTCACCTCAGACTTCCCTTTCCACTGGTATAGTTTTTATATTAATAAGATACCACCATTCTTGAGGAACAATGGTTTGGAACTAATTTTGATTTTTATGGGGCAATACCATGGGCTTTCATGAAAATAGGTGTCCATACAGAAAGTTTTTACATAGCAAAGCTAGTGAAGAGAAATTATTAGCAGATTCCACTTTACAAAATATAGTAAATCTCTGCCATGTCTATTCAGCAACTTAACTTCAAACCCATATTAACATTTGAGGGTACTAACAAGTAAGCACAAGTTGTAAATCTGTTGTGAACAAAGAAACATTGTGTATCACTGAATAAAATCACAATAAACATGTCACTGTCATACACAGTGATGACCATATCCTGCAACTGTTGGATTACTCCTGCATCTTGAATGAAATGTCTAGTTTGTACAGAATCTACCAAAAGAATAGTTGTTCAGGCACAGTCTGGCTTCAAAAGTAATAAGAGCTCAAATGGAGAAATAATGTGATAATCTCATTACAGCTAAATCTAAGTATTACCTCACAGAATCTCAGTATACCCAATATAATGAAAAATATGGAGATACTACATGTCTATGTTATATTGCTTGTGACCATCGTGATTTCAAAATGGTATTCTTGATAGTATTCTGATTCCAGCACCCCACTCTAAGTTTTCCTGGGTGAATTTTCTTTTTTGTGATTTGTGAATTATAATTATATTGAAACAGTAATTGGAACACTTAATTTCATTTGCAAAAATTGACAGTTTAGTTTTCAATGTGATTATAGTTAAACTGAAACAGTATTGTATCTGTTCATCTTGTTTGCAGAAATTGGTAGCTCATAGGCTAGTACATTACAGTTTTCATTGTGAATTACTGGGAAAACAGTTTATAATACATGTATTCAAACAAAAATTTGATTTACCCTTTATGTTAGAGAAAAAAAAGCCATAACTACACAACAAATATGGCCATCAGCTGTTAGAAGAAAGTATTGAAGAAAATAGTAAGGTATACACGTATTCACAAGTAAATATATAAATATCAGTTTTATTATCTGTTTTAGGTATTAAGGCATGAGTGTGTTATATTCATCCACTCCTTTTTAGGGATTTTAGGTGTTGTTGCACATAGTATGCATGTAGTATGATGTGGTACCATATACAATGCACCCATAACTGTGATATTTGAGTAGGTATTTGCTCATCAAATTATACGAAATGTTTTAGAACTTATATATTATAGTACTCTGTTGAAAATGATAATGGTGCCAATTTTTTATATTTTATCTTATGGAAGGATGTGTTTCTTGTACCAGTTGGCATCATGATACTGTAGCTAATGTAAGCATTAAAGTAATGCTCACTTTGCTGTTATTATGATTGTTGGAGTATTTTTTTTGTTATTATTATTATTTTATTATCAAATGAACCTTGTGATATTTTGAATTACAGTATTATTAACTACAGGAAGCATGAGTAATAAGAAATTGGGTTAATTTCTGGAATGGGATTCTGTTATTTGAAGCTTTAAGTTTGCCTGGTTAAAAGATACATATTCATCAAAATTTGATATATTACTTAACTGGATTTATTTCAGTTCTTACAGTGTATCTGAGATGGTGCTTCTCAGTGTGTCTTTTGACATGTGGAAAAGAACATTTGCTTGTTCTTTTTCACATCCATTTGTAAATACAAATAATGTCAGGTACTATGCAGCATTCCCCACTTTTTCAGTAGTTCTAGTCTGATTGAGCCTGATTATGAAACCAAACCTAGTTCAGTAAGTGCTTCCCCTCCAAGACTTGCCAAAACAGTTGACATTTCTATAAGTAATTTAGCTTTTAAAGATGATATGCAGGAACATGTTTTACAACTGGTGCTACAAAAAAATATTGTTTTAGAATTTCATGAGGGTTACTCACATTTACCAGTATGAGAGTAAGTATTACTCTCATTATTACTATTGCCAGTATTCTTACAAAGTTTCAACTTAGATGCAGTATATTGTAAACATAGCTAGTTAAATGGATACTTTTGTTTTCTTCCTTTTTTTGTAAGTATCTTTGAAACCGATTTGTACTTAATTATCTACTTTGAAGTACAGTACTTTAAATTTTTAGTTATAGTCATAAAAGATGTTAAATATGGAAAAATATTTGTTTTATGTTCTTTGTACTTTAATAATGTGACTAATGACATTTTCGATTTACATTGTATTGTCAAATTTTACTATTTGATTTAATACACGCAATTTCGAATTATGTTAAAAATGAAAAATGATGTGATTATCAGGTGCTCAGTTTTCACAATTATCTTCTTAAATTTTCACAATTATCTTCATGCCAGCCACATTGATTATTCTTTTGTTTCCCCCCACACACTAATAATGCATGATAACCTGTCAAGAAGGAACAATAATGTAAATGAAATTAGAAAAATAATCAAGGAGCAATTTTAGGAATTGCTTTCATTCCATTCTAGCTTAACGGTCAGGATCCCTGGTTAATCGCCCAGCCATATCCCTTTGGGGGGCCCCTGAGGGGTAGATTTTTGTTGTTCCCCATTTATTTCAGGCTTGCCACGGTCAATAGTAGGGGCACTGATGCTTGCCCCTTCGACTGTTTTTGAAAATGCCTTATCAGAGACTGACATTGGCTGCCATGGTTTGGAAATAGTTTCCACTGTGATTAATTAGGAGAAAATACTACAGTGAGTCCCCCAATTCTTTTCTATAGGATTTGAGTTGGGGTTAACTAGTCTATCTAAATTTGGTTTCTCTTTCCTAGCCGAATGCCCCCTCCTTGACCGCGACTCCGACCACTGATGATAATACCTCCTCCTCGATGTTTGCTGTCAACTTTATCCATTCCGAATCATCCGCTCAGGTCGTTTATTCAACCTTCAGAATACACCCCTTCCTCTCTCCCAGCTTCCTCCATTCCATCTACTGCACAGTCTTCTTCATTGTTTACCGCTAACCCTACGGTTATACTATTCTTATTGCCTACCCTCCACAGTACTACCTCACTCTACACCCCCTGCCCTCGTCTATCTACTGTTTCCATCTCTAAAAAACGTTTGAGTCCTTCTTTAGCACAGTCAAGTGGGGTCGATTCTTTTTGATTCCCCCTACAGCCCTCTGCTCAGACAATACCCCTCTACTTTAAAAGCAAGTAAGCGAAGTTTTTTTTCGTAGTTGTTTTGATCATTCACGCCTTATTCCAGTTACATCTGAAAAGCTGAGTCTGACAGACCTCACTGGCAAACATATCCCTGTCGAACCTTACTTTTCCCTTAATACTTTCACTGGAACTGTTTCTGTTTCCTTGACTGATTGCCTCTGTCAAGCAAACAAAAGTACACCTGCCTCGTAACACTGTGATCAAGGCAGTTAACTATTCCCTCTAAAAGATTAGCTTCCGTAGACATAACCTCTCCCATAAAGTGGAGTCTATGACATCCCTTTTCTCCGGTGGTCCTGATCCCTTCTCGTAGTGTCAGAAATATCGTTTTGGCCACCCAGCCAAGCACTCGCTCCAGAGCCCGCTGCCCTCTATGTGCCCAACTTGATCATAACCCTTCAAATTGCTCTGCTCAGTCACGCACTTGTGCCAATTGTGGAGATTCCCATAGTGCATACAAGCTCGAATTGGAGGTAGCAGTTCTCAGATTGAAACTAGGCCTCACTCTACGTGGGGCCAAACAGGTAGCACGCCGACGGTTTTTCTCCTTCTACCTATTCCTAAACTGCACTCCTCTCTGCTCCCCTTCCATCTTCCCTATATATGTCAGTAACTCCCCCTGGATCTCTCCCCTCTACCCTGAACCACCCTACCTCTACCCCTCCACTCCCCCCAGTTACATTCCCACTTAAGTTTTAATCCAGATGCTTCAATCTCTACCACTTCCCCGATGCATACCCCTCCTCCTCCTCACTTTACCTGTCGGGCCAGACAACCTTCTTAACCTACCACATCCTCTCCTACACCCTCCTCTTCCTCTTTTTACCGCCGATTAAAGCCTCTTCCCCGGGATACGAAAATTTGAAATTTGATTTTGTTTGCGGAGA